TCACCACTCACTGTAGACACTTCTATGTAGTAGAAGGTGACAACTAATAGCAATTTTATTTGCAACTTTGCAGCAAGTTTTATTAGGCAAATTATTATAAAAATATTTTTGTTATAATCTAAACTACTTTTATTTAACTTCTTTAAATCTGAAACTTTTCTATAGTGTTGCTCCACACCCACAAAAATTGTCTGCATCACTAAGGATAAGGACTAGAAAATGTATCACATTCCCATGAATTTGCCTGAAATTCTGACTCTGATATGAACTGCAGAGATAAAGAGAGAAAGCAGAAAGAAAAAATATTTTGGTGATTTGGAAATTTAATGCTTTGCGTCAAATCCCAAAGCAATAGTTAAATTTGTATTTGAGAATGAAATACACATCTTTATAAAACGTCTTGCCCCCCTTCTTGCAAAGATTTGAAAGAACCACATCCTCATTTTCTTCAAGAAATTTAGGAAGAAAATTCAAAATACTTTGTGATAGAACAGTAGAATCTAATATACAGTACAGATTCTGGTCTTGATGTCTTTTATGGCTGCAGAGATGCAGCAAAGCTGACTTGTATTCATGAGCCTCAAGTGCTGACTCCAATCTAGGTTGAGTAACCACAGACGTCTTCTCTCAAGGCTCCTCTTCTTTCACCTAAGCCAGGCAGTATTGGATATTTTCCTAGGCTGTGTGACAATCAGGAATGCAAAATTTGTCCATGGCTCATTCACAAGAAATGCATAGCAAATGAGATGTGTTTTGGAAAATCAACAGTGCATGCACAGTACGTGTGCAATAATTTAGTGTGCTCTGGATGCACATACACATAGTTCTGCCAGAAAAAGAAAAAAAAAAGAAACAAAACAGCCAAAGCAGGGACTCCTGTAATTGCAAAAATTGTTTTGCACTTACAACTGCGATGGTAAATAATTTTTGCCAAGGCACAGAAAAACTTAAGAACTTGGAGAGGGAAGGACAGAGTTATGAAAACTATCTGACTCAAGCAAGGCAATCAGGATCACTGTCTTTGGTGATGGTTTGTATATATTCCCACAGCCAGATCATTAACAGTTCTTCACTCTCAAAATCTGGAGCTCTGTTTTAAGGAAGAATACTATGGGCCATCTGGATCTAAATAACTATTTGAAAAGAGAGTTGAGGTTATTGGCCAAGAGCAGCAGACTGACTGGACTCTTGTTAAGATATATCAACAGCAGACTGTGTAGCACTTTCAAATAGAATCCTTATTAATCAAAAGCAATACTTACATTATTGGTTTATGAAGAGATTATCAAGAACAGCGTTAAAATGGCAAACCACGTATTCTCCACACGTGTGGCTTTTCCAGAGTTTGGTAGCTGCTATTTCCTAAGTTCTACTTTTACAGCAGCTAGACTTCTTTGCCACAACAGCCATGAGTCAAAAGGACAAAACAACCAACAACCAACCAATAAGCAATAAAGCCTTCCCACGCCCTAGATGTAAAACCTTTGTGGAAGATCCATGAGTCTTTTATTATTAATATAGCAGGAACAGAGGTTAAAATTTCTCAAGAGGGACAAAATAAAAATACTATTAAATATACTCTGCTATACCTTGGGGAGAAGAGAGAATTACTGACCTTAACTGATAAAGTGAAAACTATCCCACTGTCTCAACCTGCCCCTCAGGGTTAGTTGTCCTTATTTTTTTAAACAGCAATGAGGCAAAAATGGGGTTTGAGGCTCGGAGAGATCACTGCTTGACTACAAAAAGCATTATAGATCAATGCCTTTGGCAAGGGTCACCATAGATTCATCATTCTCTCATTAATAACAAATATATAGAATAAAAAAATTGAAGTGATATCAGCACATTTTGTCTCCATATCAGTGTTTTCACAAAATGTTTAATTAGAATACTTGTTTTGGAGACTTGCTGGAGCTTATTGCTTCATGTACTGTAGCTTTTTCAAATTTAAATCTTCCTTAGCATTCCAGGACTCTCTCTCTTACGTTGTGATCAGGCATTAGAGCCATTCACTACACTACCATCACACACGTGACAGACTTCCATACATACGTTTATCTTCCATGTTCCAGAAAAGAATTAAAGACAGCTATAGTTTTTTCCAGCCTTTCATGTTTAAGTTAAGATTTGTCCTCTTTAGAGAATGTATTGGGACAATAGCAGCCTCATATACTTCTTCATTGCCAATGATAGAAAGGATGCTAAGAGCTGAAATCTGTTTTCAACATAGTGAGCCACTGGCCTTAACTTCAAAGAGGATCTCCTGTCTGTATATAAAGAAGTACACCGTGCTAGAGGAGCTGCCAACTAGGTTACTCTGGCCAAAAATCTTGTGACAGTTTATAAATATGAATTACTATAATTTCCTGCTTTCTGTAACAGGTTTAGTTACTTAGAGCCTTGCTGTAGCCTGTAGCAAAGTGAGTTGTAAGAGCTGATGTAGCCTCTGCTGGCAGGGAGTGGAAAGGTGCACAGCTGCATGGCTAACAGCTAAGGCAACCTTACTGCATGGGTAGCACAAGAACACCTGTAATCCTTAAGGGAAAGCCCAGGTGGGCTGGGCTAAAGTGAGGAAAAATAAGGTATTCCCTCCATATTTGGAGGCACTACCATCATGCCATAACTTCATACAAATACACACCATCATTCACTGAATAAGTTTTATCTCCTTGGATGATTTTACCTAAGAGCTCACTGTCCAGCTTCTTCTACACATTTTGTAGTTTGGAGCAAAGAGAGCTTTTAAATTATTTTTAAAGGGCAGGTATATTTCAGCTACACCTCTTCTGCTGCTTCACTAGACTGAGTTGTTGGAACCAAAAGTTCCTAGCGAATATCTGCTTTAACTGCTTTGGTCAGTACTTTCCATGGGACCATCTCAGCACTTACTTTGATACTGCAATACTGTAATGAGGCAATAATAGCTGGGTGGCAAAGTTTTTGGCTACAGCAAATGAGAACAAGCTCAAATACAGCAGCTACAGAAGCAAAAGAAAAGAGCTGCTTACCTTTGGAAGATCTTGGATAGGCAGAGATTTCCAGCAAGAGGTGTCTCCACTGCCAACCCTTTAATGAGCTCTGGGAAGGGATGGATCTTGGCTCCACCCCTTCCACTCAGATGCACTGCATGCACCTGAGCTCCCTTGGGTTAGCCCTGCCTTCTTACCTGGTGTTCAATCACTGTTTCAGGCCAGGACTCAGCATTTCCACTCTGGATGTTATCGCTAATCTTTACACTCTACAATGCAATACTATGATATGCACAGATATTAACAATAATACAGCTCTATAACAGTAGCACTTAAGAGAAATGTTAGCAACAACAAAAAGCCCTAGGGTAGTGACTTGTATCTATATTAAGGCTTTTTAAAAACATGTATCTCTCTCTCTACATATATATACATTTATATTAATAATTGTATAATTATATATACATATAAGTTCCTTGAACAGCTTTTAATGGATGTGGGAATAGTGTCATAATCAGAAACTTAGAAGAAGATGCTAAGTATTCATACCTAGAATGATTGGAGGAGGAAATTGTTAACAATATTTGTTTGCATGCTTGTTTTTTAAAATTGTAAGAGTAGGCTACCAGGAAGGAGGCAAATCTGTGAGATGAGATGATCCTAAGGTGCAGCATGCCCTCACCAACTAAGGTGCAGTCCCTGTAGGACTAAACAAATTTGTGCTTGTGAGTGAGTCCATTAGCAGTCCCAGACACAGCAAAAGAAGACAGGACTGGAGTACAGGTCTAAGGTCCATACAGGAGACAAATCTGGAAACAGACCTGGATAAAATCTACAACATAGTGCAGGGTGTTGATCTAACAGATCATCTGAGGTCCAACCAGAACACGTAGATAGAAAGCATCTCTACATCGTAGCTCAAATTAGGACTGATAACCTTGGGCTGAGTTGAAATAGGACTTAGATGAGTGGGGGCCCAAGTGAGAATAATCAGGGATGCTAAGACCTATTAGCTCCCTCAAGCCCCTGAAAATGCTGTGATTTTTATCAGGGTGATGTTTTTGAGTCTTTTCAAATCTTGTCTGCTCTTTGAAATATGGCAGAGAAAATACAGATCTGAAAAACTTAAAGTAATGCCCTTTTTCATAGTATCATAGAATGGCTAGGTTGGAATGGACTTAAAAACCCACTCAGTTCCCACCCTCAGCCATGGGCTGGTTGCTCTCTCCAGATGGGGTGGCCCAGGGCCCCTGCCATGGGCACTTCCAGGGATGGAGCACCCACAGCTCTCTGGGCAGCAATGCTAGGGTCTCACTGCCTCTGAATTAAGAATTTTTACCTAATGTCTAACTCAAACCTCCCTGTTTATTTTAAAACCATTCCTCCTCATCCTGTCACTATCAGACCATGAAAAAGTTGGCCTTTGTCTTGTTTTCAGGTGATTTCAGCTTTCTCATATGACATGCTCTACCCTTTTCATTTCTTCTCATAATATGAGCATGAATAATGTTTGGCAGGCTTCCTTGAGAAGTAATTATGGAAAAGTCAGAATCGCATCCTTTGCATCTTGACTAGGTCTCTATACAGAAGGTTTGACCAGATATGTTAAATGCCTTTTTAGTATTCTGGTAGATCCACAGTTTACTGAGGCAGCATCTGAACTGACAGAGGCCTGTAGCCTGAAATTATAAACACACAGATTCCAAAGAAAGAGTAACAAATTTTAGAAGTGTGCATAATCAGCAAAACTAACTGGAAAGGTGAGACATCATTGTGAGTTTGCTCCTGCTGATACCAATTGCTAACATATTTATCACAGATAGAAGAAGAATTAGGCAGGGACATTTATGATGAATTGGCTGAAATATAACATTTACAAATCAAAAATTAAACAAGTATAGCCCTTATCTGTTGTTTATTAAAAAAAAAACAACAAATCAAAACAACAAAAAACATCACTGAGTAATTTACAGGTACCGTATTTGTCAAATAAACTATGCACAAGTCAAGAAAGCTGCAGAACAGTTCCACTGGTAAATTACCTTTTATTTTACAAAAAATAGCTGCCTTGCAGGTAAATCATGTTAACGTTCCCTGCTCTTTAGTTCTTTTTTTTTTTTTCTTCTTTTTTTTTTAGATTTACTTTGGGGAATGAAAAATCCTTTGCAATACAGATATGTTACATTTGTCTTCATTACCATCCAGCACAAGCTACAGCAAATGCACCCACAGATCCTGAGGCCAACCACAGGTAACAAGTTCAATTTATTTTACATGTATGTTTCAATTTGGTAGCAAGCTTTCAAGGGCCTAGATGGCAGTGTAGTTCTTGGTGTAATTTGTCAATTTGATTTTCTCTGGGAAGATAATATTAACAGAAAGGTTTTCCCCATTACTAGACTTCAGAAGAAAGTTCTTTTTCTTGCGCAGGAGATGACTATATTTGGCATTAGCCAACCACATTTCACATTTTGAAAAAAATACAATCCCAGTTGTACCCAAAACTACAAGACATGTAAGTAATCCCAGTACAACAAAACATATCACTTGGCTTTTACTGAGCAAGGGATCTGCATTTTGGATTGTTTCTTTCACTGTTATTTTCAGGATTTCATGTTCTTGATGCACTGATCTGTGATGAGCTTTTGGGGGAAGCTTGTAATTCTGCATGTTCTTTGTGCCAGTATTCACTGCAGAAAGGCTTGTGTTTTTGCTGACATGTTTGCAGGTGGCACCAACAAATTCTGGCTTACAGATGCATTTGAATCCTCCCTGTGGATGTTCTTTGCATGTTCCTCCGTTCTCACATGGGTCACTTGCACAGAATGTGACACGGCTGCTACAGAGTTTTCCTGTATAGCCATAGGGACATAAACAGCTGAAACCTGCACCAATATCTGTACACGTTCCTCCATTTTCACATGGGTTGGATTCACAGTCATCCCTATCTATTTCACAGAAGTTGCCAGCAAAACCAGAAGGGCACAGACAGGAAGCATGGGGTGCAAAACCATTGTCATCAATGCATGTTCCTCCATTCTGGCAGGGAGAGCTGGAAGAGAGAACAAACACATACATATACAGAACTCAATCAAATTCTAAAGAAAGAAGTTATTAGAAAACACTTGATGTAATAAGAGAAGCTGGTTTTCTTCAGAAGAGCCAAATCCTAATGTAAATCCACTGAAGTCAATGAAGTTGAATCAAGAACGAGTTATTAAACAGCTCTGTCAGTGCAGGCTGTAGTATCTTCTGCTGACCCCTCAAGCAGAATTAATACAGCACTATATAAATCCAACCTGAAGAGTTGTCAATGGATTTTAATTTATTCCAAACATTTATCCAAATTAAGCTTCCCAATGTTTTCATAAGCTCAGAGCTATTTAGCTGAGTAACTATCTAGACAAGACTGAACAAACAGACTAGCAGAAACACTTTCTTCTCCACCTGATTGTTCATAACATAATCTGTGCATTGGCAAAGCGAAACACTTTCATGGCAGCATAGTGATTGTTTTTATTCTGCTTCTATTGTGCTCCATGACAAACAAAAAAACTAGAGGTGAATAGATACACTTTCCTGCAAACAGCTGTTGAGACAAAAGTTTTGATAAAGTAACACAAACTGTAATAAAAAATGAGATGGTTTCAGCGGTAGCAAAGGAAACTGTCTTGTGAGAACAGGGGCAGAGGAAACCAAGCATTTCTTCAAACTCTTTCAGAACTTAATTATTAATAGCCTGGTGATATGTTTTAAATTCTTAATATGGTATAAATTCTTTGAAATAATCTTTTTTTTTTTTTTTTTTTTAACTGACAAAAAAGCACAGATGTTGTCAATTCAGTGGAGCCATTGAAATCAGATGTAGTGCTTTAACCCATCTTGTTGGCAGAAAAGGGGCCCAGGGCTTGCAAATAAATCTCAAAATCATTATCATGGCAGTGATGAACAGTATATGAACAAAGCTTTTAAAACTTACCTTATAAAAATGGATTTCAGTCATGAAAAACAGAACATAACACTTGACAAAGACTACAACAAGCCTATTTGACAACAGTCAACTGACTATTGACTATTGAGTACTTCAGTATTGACAAGCAGTACTTCAGTGTTACCTTGCTTTCTACTTGCAGGTACCAAACAGCTGCAGCTTCATGAACACTGAGATTTCACATATGTAGTAGTTGGTAGCAATATCCCACCATGGATTTCCATAGTGGGGACACTGTTTTTTAAGAGTCTGAGTGAGATGACTTGCAAAGGGAAAATAAACTCCTTTTTACAAATGGCCCCAACCATTTGTGGGACAAGGCTGAGCTTCTCAAATGTGCAGTTGTTGCTCTGGGAGTAGACATCACACTAAGTACCCTCAGCACCTTTGGCCTTACTGAAGATTGAAACCCTTGGTGGCCTACTACCTTGGTGTAGTAGGTGACTACTACAGTAGAAAAGTCATCTGTCTGTTTTGTTTTGTTTTGTTTGTTTTGTTTTTTAATACTTTCACATAAAACAAACAGCTCTGCACTCTCATATTGTCCTTCATTGTAGCTGTTGGCTGGAAAAAGTGCTACTGAGAGAACAAATTGGAAATCTGGAAGCTGCATTAGGAAATGAGTTGTCCCTGGACTTTGCCAGCTGGGAAAGCCTGATAACAATACGAGATGATAATGCAATCAAGGAAATTAGCCACAGTCACTAGCTATTGTGTGTGTTTTAAGGAAATTATAGAAGCTGGAGCTGTACAGTCCTTGAGTAACTGAATGGTTATGGTCTGTCTTGGAGAGCCTAGCACCCTCTACTGGCTTTACAGATGTCATGGAAAATCAAACAAACTTGGATATAGCAGTATGAAGAAGATTGAAACCTCACATGCAGGTCAGATTGAAGGAAATGCAGGGTATTTCTAGGAAGATGGGAAGAAATTACTGGAGAATGCAAATGTAAAATGATTTTTTCTGATTTTTCATGTGAAATAATTTTTTATACTTTTTCAGAAGTAGAAAATATAAAAAGTGTTTAGAAAATGCGTGCAACATTTTGAAAATCTATTCTTCATTTATTACCGAGCTTCATTTACTTAACATTAAATATGCAAATATCAGCTATCAATAGTTATATATTCACATATATCAACAATATCAATAGTCTTCTTGAATAGATTCACAGTCCTAGTAAAAGAATTATATACGTTAGCATAGAGATATTGCCTCTTAGCAAAGAAATCTGAAGAATGGTCAGAAGGAGTATAGATTTTAAATTCACATCAGAAACCATTATTTACCCGTTAATAATACAAGGTCCTTTCCTGAGATGGCAGTTCTTTCCTGTAAATCCCTGGGCGCACAGACAAATATATCCTCCATCACCAGTCTCTATGCATGTTGAGTTATTGGTGCAGGGCTTTGCAGAGCATGGCTGAATATCTGTTTAAAAAAACAATTAAAACATTTTTTTAAAATTTATTAAAACACTGTTCAATGAAATGAATGCTAAATAGTCAGCAAAAGAGCAAGGTGGGGCTCAATTAAACTTAGGAGAAAAGTTAAATTAAACTCAGGAGAAAGAATCAGCAAATAGTAAACAGTGCTTTAAATAAAACATAGCTTTAATGGCCATTCCTTCTACATTTTACAAGTTCTGATTTATTTCTCCCTCTAAACATGAAGTACAGATTGTTCAATTATTGCAAGCACTTTGAGCTCATTTCTTTTCCTAGCTGTCACTTTTGAAATGATTTTGAACTGTTCCAGTACATAAATAACTAATATTGTCAAAAAAATATTAGTAGGTAAGAAAGAAGTTCTAAGTAGCTTAGTCATCCTTTCCCAGCCTTGGCATCTCCATGAGCAGAATTCTGATAACGAAAATAAGAATCAGGAATTCCTCATGCTCTCTAACGAAAAGTCTATCATTTTGTGTTTGTGAACAAACATTTCATAATAGCAGAGATTGGCAGGTTATAAAGACTCTTAAGATTTCATCATCTGTCTGGGTTACATCTAACCCTTACAGAGCTGCACCAGAAGAGAGAGCTGTCTGACATGTTTTGGCCAAAAGTTACACGTCTCTTTTTCTTTAGTGTTTCCCTGCTATGGAATTTGAACTACTACCAATTTTTACAAATAACTAAAATTAAATATACAAACAAGTACATATTTTAGCCATCTAATGGAGCAGCTGCAGTGAAGAGCTGTCTGTAAGGCATCTGACACCTCACATATCCATGTTCATACGTACACTAAGAATCACTGAACAATAAAGGTTGGAAAAGATCAGTTCTAAAATCAGCTAGTCTAACCATTAGCCCATTCCCTCCATGCCCTCTAAACTATGTCCTTTGGTGCCACATCTCCATGGTTCTGGAATACCTCCAGGGATGCCACCTCCCTGGGCAGCCTGTGCCAATGCATCATCACTCTTTCAGAGAATAAATTTTTCCTAATATAGAAGATAAAAAAGATTTAAGGGCATTTATATTCTACCTCCCACAACATAACGTGAAAGTTAGTTGATATCATGAGGTACTGCTAAATTTTAACCACAGCAAAACACTTCAATAGCCTTAGCTTTTAAATATAGTCTTCCCTGATAAAAGGCTCTATTTTCTAATGTGTTTGCCTGTTCTTATTACAAGAAAAGCACTCTGCACGCACTTTAAGTTCCAATTTTCACAAGGACTTGAATAAATAAACTTGAATGCTTTTTGGAATGGTGCTGTTTGCCATCTATTTTGGCAGGCTTTAAAGGCAGCTAAAAAAAATGAACTCTGATGCATGAGTGAGGAAACTCTGAAATGTACATGTGGATAGGCATATGTATTAATAGGTATATACATATATGAATATGTACATTACTACTAGTAATTTATGTAAGAAATTTGGTTTTTAAAAACAACTTTAAAGCTTATAGTATCATATCCTTTTAAAATGTAAGCACATAGATAAACGAAATACTCCATATTCTCTATTCTCTTTAGTTTTCCTCTCAGAAGACCAAAATCCAAGTAATTTAATTGCTTCAAGTGGTAGCTGAGTCTCAGATGAGAATTGAAAAAAAGACTGCACATTTACACATGTATTACGAATTGTTGCAATCACATTACCAATAAATTAATTAACCCTTTTGTAAAACCAAGCTGTCATGCTGCAGTGCACGAAGTCATCATTCAGTGTTTTTCTCAGGAAAGCATTGCAGTGGTTGGATATCAGGTTGGAAAAGGTTCTGCACCAGAGGGCAGTGGGCATGGAACAGCATCTGTTGGAGCAGTGGTCACAGCCCTGAGCTGGAATTGAAGAAATGTTTGGATAACATTCTCAGACTTAGGCTTTGCTTTTTGGGTGGCCCTGTGTGCAGCCAGAAGTTGGATTGGATGATTGCTGTGGGACCCTTCCAATTCAGTATATTCTGTGAATCTGTGGTTCACAGCACAGCAGAATTTGTCTCTTGCATGTCTATCATAGGCAAAGAGGTAAGTTAGCAGTATTAAAACTTAGACCAGCTCACAGATTTTTTTCCTTAAGTGACATGCCTAGGCACATGACTGTAATAATAGTAATAAATGAAACCAAAAATACTGGCCTACATGTTTACGGTGAACCCAATCTATAATCTGCATGCCTGTGAATTATAAGGTAGGTCATTCTTCGTCTGAACTAAGAACCAGATGGCCAGCCCATGGTAAATATAAAACCACTTGATGACCTAAAACTGCTCCAGAAAGGAATTTTAATGATCCATACTAAGGAGATTATACACTAAATTTCCTAGAAAACAGAAAAAGAGAGCACCATCATTCAAAAGGTACCTTATTTTCTCTTGCATTTAGCAAGCAAATAAGCTGCTAAGACTGTATCTATATTTTACGGATATTTCAGGGATTAACAGTGGCCAAATGAATTTGAAGGTTTTGCCATCTCTCTGTTGACAATTGCTCACAGCTGGCAACAGTGGAACAATGGTTTTGCCAAAAATTCTCTGGCAAATATGACACTTCCTATAGCAGCAGTAAGGAAGAATGCTAAGGGAATGGCAAAACTGTGTTACTCACAGTCCTCTGTCAGTCTCCCCAGAAACAGTACAAATGTAGCTTTTTGACAAGACTTATCTCATTGCACGCCTGAAGCTAAAATTTGTTGCCACTGGCTAAAACATGTCAACTAAAATCATTCGCATGTGAAAATGTAACAGTTGTGGCCTATGGACACATCTGGACACATCACATCATAAATTCAGTATTAAAAAAGAGTCAAGGAGTGTGGCTTTTTATGTAAAAAATTAATGTGTTTGCATTATGGCAACTAAAAAAAACCAGTTATATGTATTTGCCAATGATCCCCAGATGGATGGGAGCATTCGTTTTGTTCTTTTTCCTAACCTTATCAAGCATCATTTAGTGGCACTTGTTAATAAGTTATAACAGTCTGTAATGACCTCATACATTCAGGAAACCAACACCATTTTGGCAGAGGGTGTCAGAGGCTGAACAATTAACCTCATTTGAGGATACGGTGCATTCATGGATCAGTAGAACAATTTTTAACAGCCTTCCAGTGGCAGGAAAAAGACTGGGTCTTTTGTGGCAAAAGAATGCATTTAGAGTAGGTCCACTGAGATGGACCTACTCAGTGAATCCATTGAGATGAAAGACTTTCAATGTAATACAACCATCTTTTCATCTGCAGGGACATTCCATTTTGGCTGAGTATTCTTGGCACGTCTTCATTGGGATCTAAATTCAAGTTGGCAAAGAACATTGAGATAACTGAGTGTTGAGAGAAGTAATGCTTTCTGGACTTAAACAAGGGATATCCATTTTATATTGAAGAATCACCACAATTAATGCTCATTAAAATATTATTTTTCCATGAATATATGGTTACAATTCCCAAAGAATTATTTTCTATCATAAATACCACCTGAAAAAGGTTGCAAAACTCAGAACTGTGATGATATTTAAGTGCCAAGAAATTCAGCTAGACTCTTAATGTGGTTCTTTGAAGTGTGTCCAACTTGAAAACATAACCTTTACTTGCAGAAATCTTTAGTTTTGTAGCTCCATGCCACTGCAAGTACGTGATCAACCAGAAATCTTCTTCTAGTCATCCTGAAGATTTTATCCAGATCAAATTGCATCATCATTAACTACTGTTTTGGGCATTCACTGACAGCCATGCTCTATAAATTGTAAGCTGTGTAACAATGAAAGCCCAAAATAGGAGCAAAAAGAACAAGGCCTTGGATACTTGTCTTCTTCAGATGCATCTCTGCAGGCTGAACTGGTGCGCAGTGCTGGATGCTCATGCGGTTTCTGCACCCTCACATCTCTTGGCTGAACACTCATTTGCCTACATCAGCCAACACAAACTAGCTCAGCAAAGGCCAGCTCCTCAAATTGCTGATGCTATCTGGCACATTCTGACAGGAAGGGGGTGAGCGAGCGCGCCCTGCTTATCCCTCAGATCTGGGAGGAAGGCAGCATTTTGCCTGGTCAGACCTTTCCCTGACTTATAACAATGCTATTCCATTGAGCTGTCATAAGATTAAGGAACAAAGAATTATGACGTTTTCTTTTTCAATAAATATTCAGTATTAAGCTCTTATTTTCCCATACAAAAATTTACACATATAAATATGTAGTGTGTCATATAAATATTTCATATTAACTAATATATACAAAAAGATGTATTTTCATCATAATTAATATGACATCAAGATTAATATGACAATGATGAATAGTTGTTTGTTAGCATTATTCACAATTACAAATATTTAAAATAGAATGAGGAGTGTACGCCTCACTCACACATATGCCCAAATATCGAACACACTGAATGTTTTTGGAGAGACTTCAAAGCCCACCCAGTACCAACGCCTTACCGTGGGCTGGCTGCCCCCCACCAGCTCAGGCTGCCCATCCAGCCCAGCCTTGTGCACCTCCAAGGATGGGGCACACACAGATCTCTGGGCACCAGTGTCAGAGCTTCTTATGTGCTGCTGCCCAGAATCTCCTTATTATCTTGCTCTAGCATCCTTTTAAAATTACTTATCCATAAGATCTTTTGTATGTCTACATCACCAGATGGGGCTGTTTCACCTCATTTGCTCAAGGAAAAGAAATGATGTGCAAACCTATGTCACAGAGGCTGCCAACCCAGCCCTCCTCACAGATGCACTGCCAGGGTTTGACACAGCTGCCATGCAAGCACCCAGGGAAAGGGACACACTGATTGCAGAGAGCACCCTGCCAACCAGGCAGACACCTGAAAGAGATAGGAGACAATACACAAGCATGGTTTATTTTTAATAAACATAATTACATGGATGTTCCCCTTTTCAGGCTGCAATAAATAAACTTTTGGATTCAAAATTGGACCGTACAGTGCATCTGATCAAAAAGATAGCATTGATGCTTCTGGGATACTAGAAGTATTTATATGAAAAAACAAACAAATAAGCAAAAAACTGGTTCATGCGATGACAATAAATAAATGGTAACCAACTTAAAGACTTTTCATACTGGGATAATTAGGCTAAAGAGGCATCTAGGTACCTCTGCTCTATCACTTCAGTTATGGTATGGAACTAGAGCGCTGCCTCATTACTGTACCATATTTGCAGAGAATACAGTGTTTCAGCTTCTATTTTAAAGAACAATGAATTATTGAGGAGGTCTGTTTCTGAGCTAAGGCTCTGTCTGACAGATCTTTTTACCTGCATTCACTGGGAAATTCACAAAACCCGTTCACTGGGTGGCAGCCAGCTTTACAGCTCACACCTAAAAGAAGAGATTTTTAATACCAAAATAGAAAAATGAGCACTCAGGGTAAAAAATAAATAATAAAAAAAAATAGTGTCCTATATACATTACTGATGTTTTAAAAGAAATCAGACAGCAGAGTGAAAAAAAGCAACTCAAGACTGCATAGTAGTATTCTGATTTCTATCAAATATATGTTTCTGCAACATAAAGGTTTTAAATGAACCTGAGGCACGTTACAGGATGTTTCTATAAGGTAGGAGAACTATAAGGTAGGAGAATTGACATAAAGAATTGATTGCAAAAGAACACAGACTAAAACACAATAGCAAAGTGTGTCTCATACTATTTTAAAAGGGAAATTTCAGAATGCACACACATATGCCACTACACAACACCCGACTACAGCTGCATTATTTCAGAACTACTTCAAACACAGTAATGTCTTTAATCTGAAAAATATATATATATCTATTTAATACTACTTGCAAGCTCATTTCCACCTTGTCTAATAACAACAACAACAAAAGATTAAATCTCAGAAGAGTAACTCAAGTTTATTATAACGATGTCTCAGCCACTTTTCTCCCTCCCTCAGCCATCTGCATCGAGAAGCATTTAGCCACACCACGAAGCAGCACCGCTAACCGCTGCCCTGCAGGCGAATGGCACGAGGAGCGCCTCGCACGGCGCATCGCCGCACCTCCGGCCGGAGCTATCGCTGGGAAAGGCAGAGCTCTCAGCCCGGCCTCGGCCAACTCCTCCAACTTTCCCAAGTCGCTCCCGCAGAGAGGTTACCTGGGGCGGCGGGGAGGACGAGGGGCAGCAGGCAGCAGCAGCAGCAGCAGCAGCCGAGGAGCCCGGCGGCGCGCAGCCTCATGATGGGGCCGCTGAGCGCGGAGCTCGCGCGGATCCTCCCGGGTGGCGAGGAGGAGGAGAAGGAGGAGGAGGCACCCCCGGCCTCCGCCCGCAGAGCCGGCGAGTTGCGGTGCGGTGGGGCGGGAGGAGAAAGCGAGAGGGGAGCGCTGCCCGGCTCCCCCGGCCCGGCTGTGCAGAGCAGCGGGCACCGCGCGCACCCCGCCTGTCGCGATCGCGGGCGAGAGGAGGTTCGTGGCGGGGCGCGGCAGGAGGGAGGGTTTGGGGGAGTGGGGGGACTTTGATCACGCCTCTTACCTCGGGATCGCTGTCCTCTAAGAGCCAGTGCTGGGCTCCGGGTTTCTGAAGACTTCTCTCCCAGTGCACATCAGAGCAACTTTTTGTTTTCGGGAGAGACCCCAGCAAAAGCAGTACAGGCAAAGCTTGTTCTGTTTCAGAGGCGAACGTGATAAATAAGAACAAAGTGCACCCAAAGCTGACAGTCTTTTGTTGTTGTTGTTCATAATATACATAAGAAAAACATTTTTACACCACCACCAAGCAGTTTAAATTCTGTGCTTCGCTCTGTGACTGTTGCTCTCTCTTTTCTATCTTTCTGTTCTTCCTTTGAGGTGTCCCTTATGGAAACAGATGAGCTATTTCTTGTTCCTTGCCATCGTCTTTTAAAGAAATTTTGCCTCTTCCTGAGGGATCCGTTTTCTTCTGCTTCAGGTGTGGTGCTTACATCCACCAGACACCATTTACCAGTTTGTCTACCTTTACGTGCTGCAACTAGAGATCACTATAGTATAATAAGAAACTATAAAACCTTTTCTCTAGGATTATAGCGGGCTAAGATTAACTGCCTGAAAATGTGAGAGAAACCAAGAAGCACGCATTAGCTTCAGATAGCCCATTTACTGGTGCTTGAAGATAATGATGTCACTCAGGTTGAAAAAGTTTGCTTCTGTTAATGCTGATTTGTAGTTTTAACCTAGAGTAGGGGAAATGAAGGACAGAAAAAGGAAGAGGATAAGAATGAGGGGTGGTTTAAAAGACAGCACTCAGGTGAAAGGGGTTAGAGGCAGATACTACTGCTTCAAATCTCTCCAGAAGTTTGGCTACCTGAGAAAAACTATGCCCATCTGACTCAGATTACCTCCATGCCTTTTCTGTTTGTCTTGTTTTTTCCTTTTCCGCTGATACATTACTTGCTGCTTTGAAAAGAGTGGCACTGAGGGATGTGCCAGTGGGCATGGTGCTGGTGGGTTGATGGTTGGACTAAGCGATCTTAGTAGTCTTTTGCAACCTTAATGATTCTATGATTATGTAAAAGGGTTTATTTGCCAGCACAGCTTTTGCCACTGTTCACCCTGGCTGGGGTATTGTGGATGGTAGAAGTGCATCAAAGAGCCTTTTCTTATTTTCTTATGCTTTTATGTTTGATGTTGGTTTGCTCTTTTTTTTTTTTTTTTTTTCTTTTTTCTTCTTTTGACCAGGAGATAATCTGGGCAGTTAAATGCCTACAGGTTTTGTGACATCCCTCTACTATTTTGGCCATCTCATCAAAGCAGACTCCCTGCTTCCTCCTAAGTAGCTGGCAGAAAGGTCTCCTAATATTCAGTACTTTTTAGCCCTTAAGAGTGGAGAATTTCTAGAATTCATAGATTTTATCTGTACGCTCATCACTGTCAAATTATCTGATCTTATCTGCATTGTAAATATGTACTCTGACACACAGTGATGCGTTTCTTCTATTTTCTGTGTTAGCTGCTTGTATTGTCCCAAACTGATTTCTTATGAAAGTTAGAAAAATCTTCTTCTCTCAGTTCTTATATGTTATAATCACTATAAAAACTTCAATTTTTCTAGTTTGTCCTTCTTACTTATTTTCCATTTTGTACATGGATGCACCGTTAAATAAAAGTCATCTATTTTTTAGATCAACTCTACTTCACACTCTTCTATATGTCATAGGTGCCTCTTGGATGGCTGAAATCAGGATGAATCTCCATTTTCCCATTTTTCTTAGTACCATCTAAACAGAAAGCTGATAATTTTATTTTTGTAGAGTCAGAATCCTTTTTGTAAAAGTGGAGTCTGTCCATTGTAACAACCAGAACCCACTGGAACAAAATATATACTGATATTAATAAAACAATTTCAAAACAGAAGCCCTGTTGTTGTGCAGATCATTGTCTTCTCACTCCTTCTTCCACCTGAGAAAACCAAACTGTAAATCATTTTTACTTAGCCAGTTTGTTGGCCAAAATACTCTGATCCAAACCTCTGCAAACACCACAAGTCCCAGAAAATTAGAGATCGTGTTTTTGTTGGTCTTAGGGATTTCTTCTGAGAATAATTTTGTTACTATTATTATTTTAAGTCTTTGCATTAGAAATTGAGAAGAAAAGAACTTCAGTAGTCATTAGTGCAAAGAGATCAGTCTGTCATCTTTGGGAAACATGTAATGTTTTTGCAACCCTGAGAAATTTTCTCAGGAACTTGCTATAGGAATCAGAGCATCAAAGACGGTGACTGCAACAACTGAACCCAGTGAATAACCTCCATGGATCCTTTTCCAGAATCTGAGATATTATTTTTTTTTCCAGGACACCACATAACAATCTTGTCTTCTTGGACAGGAATAATGAACATGTTCAGAGACTGAGCTGCTGCATAAAGCAGGCTGAGACTGAGAGTTAAGCATGATAAGAACATCCTGTTTCACACTGAACATAGAATCGGAGTGTTTCAACCTTCAGCAGCATGCACATAGCTCTGAAAAGACTGGAAATCCTTGAAGCAGGCAGGAGTCCTTCAAGTTCTGGTCTTGTTGGGACTACTCATAACTCCCAAATGCTTGTTTACCTATAAATATAACACCTTTTGTGCAGAACTGCAGGAATCTGGAGATGGAGTATCTGCATTAGTGATGAGAAACACAGAGCAAATTGTCAGGATAAGAGCTCCTAAAGGTCCCCGGTAGCTAAAACTGCAAGGATAATAATAGTCACACAGAAACCATATCTAGAAAGGAGACATAACAATAACTTGGGGTTTCCTTTTCAAATCCAATAGAGAAAAAAAAACACCCCAAACCCAACAAATTCCAGGGCAGTGCCTTCTCCTTGGCAAAGCAGCAATATTTTGTGAACAGAGTAACAGTAATAGAAATGCTAGCCTCATCAGTGTACGGAGATGTAGGTTAGATGATCAGAAGAAATTCTTTACTCAGAGGGCAGCGAAGCCCTGGCACTGCTGCCCAGAGAGCTGTGTGTGGGTGTCCCATCCCTGGAGGTGCCCAAGGCCAGGCTGGATGGGGCCTTGGGCAGATTTATCAGACATCATTAATGCAGCTGGAGCATTAATGAACAATTTTACACTCTCTATGTCAGTAAGTCTAGACAGGAGGGGCTGTGCCAACAAGGAGCTACACACAGAAACCCTTCTCTTTTCCCCTTACTCCTTACAGTGTCCCACAGTGCACTGCTGCACTGCTCCCCATGTGCCAGCTTCATTTCTGCTACCTCCGAGCTGATTCAGTATACTGAGCAGATATGAGACTGACATGGAAAAGATGAAATCATTTTTACATCTCCATATTTCCACTACCACAAAAGTCAGCAGATGAATGTCTGTAGAACTCTGTGAGGTGACGGCACCAGCACATAAACCAGAAAGCTTTTCTGCACAAAACAGATTTCACTACACACAGAAATAGCAGCAGTCAACAGTTAGCTATGGACTGCCAAAATATTTTTTTTTTACTGTGGTGATTTTTTCTCATTGGAACAGTAGCCAGAGTGTGCTCAGCTAAAATATACAGCAGTAATTTACAGGAATTAAATCCAAACCCATTCCTTTGCCTTACGCTCAAGATGCTCACAACATTTTCTCCATTGACAGAGAACTGTCTCAGTGCTATCCATCACACAATCATTACAGTGAATTGTGTCAGTTACTTTAGGAATCAAAGAATCATAGAATGGCCTGGGTTGAAAAGGACTACAATGATCATCTAGTTTCAATCCCCAGCTATGTGCAGGGTCACCAACCAGCAGACCAGGCTGCGCAGAACCACATCCAGCTTGGCCTTGAATGCCTCCAGGGATGGGGCATCCACAACCTCCTTGGGCAACCTGTTCCAGTGCCTCACCACCCTCTATGTGAAGAACTTCTTCCTAATATCTAACCTAAACCTCCCCTTAGTTTAAAACCATTCCCCCTTGTCCTATTACTACCAACCCATATAAACAGTTGTTCCCCCTCTTGTTTATACATTACATGAAGTCTTGGCCACTCTGAAGACAGAGGCAAAGCTTCCATCACAGGGGCAGCTTTCCACTGTCTGCAAAAATCTGTAGTGGGCAGATGGCCCACTTTATGGCCAGAACTTTAATTGAAAGGAAGATGAATTTCACCCGGATGTATAGACATCTTCTTTAACACTGATGTCGGTCAGACACTATGACGGTTTGTCAAATAAAGCAGAGGCTAAGTAATTACATTTAGGGAAAGGTTAACAACACTTTTGGGAAGACTGATGAAACCATCACTTCTTGCAGCAGGTTTTTGCATTGGATTAGCCGAGATGTCACTTTCAAAGCCATCATTTTTGGGCCCTTAATGTCTTTCAGTCTAGAAAATGTTCCTTTCAAACTGCTGTTAAGAAAGCAGATTAAAAGCTTAACAGTCTGACAGATGTCAACAGTAGCCAAGAAGTTGTATCACAGCAAATCCAATGTATCCAGCATTCTTTACCTGTTTTGACATGAAGACAACAATCAATCAGTTGATATTTTATAGCACCTTGTAATGTTTTCTTTTCCTGTAGTATGAAAAATTTGGTGCAGAGAACATGCACACAGATTCCTAATAGTCAGTCAGTAAACAGAATTTTTTTCAATCATGTTAGCGATGTTACACTTTAAAATGTATTTTTTATTCTTTTCCTGAGGCTAGAAAAGTAATTTTACTTCCTGTTAGAAACTCAACTAGATCTGAGAGTTCATTTCAGGGAAAGGACTGTCTGTGTGTACAGAGAAAACAAAGAAGGGAAAAACAGTTTCTGTACCAAGGTGCAATGTTCTTACTGTTTTCTGAATAGAGAGAATAAATTATTCTTTCTTCTGGCTGAAATAGATATTTATAAAGAAAAATAGACAGTTTACTCTGGGACATACACATATAAAAATTAACAGCTTACTTTTAAGTACAGTGAATTTGAAATGACTGTGAGACATTGAAAATTAAATGCCTGAGATTGGGGATTGAAAATTGAACCACAATCCATTTTTTTTTTTTGAGACTTTTCCACCTATGGATGATCCAGAAAGAGAAAACACATCATATCTAGATGTGGATGGAGAGCAGGAAAACCGACACAGGGGAAATGTATACATAGAAAAATAAATAAATGCATGAGGACATTAAAAGAAAAACATTCATCAATATAAAAAAGACATACTTAAGAACTTACAAAATTTTACACAAGTTGTTTTCCAGCATTTTTTGGAACCAGCATTGCTAGTCTGAGCTCTGACCCTTACAGGTGTTTGGTGTTTTAAAGCTATGAACTGATCACAACTGTGGTGTTAGGTGCTTGCAGTAACTCAAGGACGTGTTGGTGGCTGGCAAAAAAATAAATGAAAACCAGTCTACATGCCTCCTGGACTCATTACTGCTGTCAGAACTCTAGCTGCTATTTCATCTTTGCTTTTGTCTTAATCTCAGCTGGAATGTTTTTGCTAACTGCAGAAGCAAGCTGTTATTTTCAGTCCTAGTGGCTTCTCTGGTTTTGTGCCATTTTAGTGGAAGGATGCTGTGTTTGCTTCTGTTGTACACAACTCATAGCCAACATTTCTGTTGCCCTTATTTACACACATTCACGTATGGCTATTTATTGACTGCTATCAGTTGCCTGTCACATGCAAAAACTTTCACTATTTTTACTTTGTCTTCTGACAAAGAAACCAGCTCTTTTCTCTACTCACTTCTTATTTTCTTCATTTGTTTTTATTTTATATACATTTCTTTGGTTGAATTCCTGTCTGTATAGACATCTAATCATACTCAAAACAGGTTAGGTTCACTATAGCCTTACTTCACAGTTTCTTGTTTGATTCCCCCTCCTGCACTATTAACATTGTTATGCTGTACAATTCTCTTTTTTTTCTTACTGTGTCTAATTGGTTTCTCTGCTGCTACTTTTTTGTAAGGCTGTT